CTGGTTGAATGAGGTGGCTGGTTGATGTTTAATTTTGGCTCATCTCTTTCAGCTCCTGGCCTCCTTTTGAACCTTAACCAGTTTTCTATGTACATGCATATCTAGGTACCTGATTCTTTGAGGGCAAGAGTGGTGTGGTCCCTTTTGTCTTTTCAAGGGTAATAATTAAACTATAAGCTCTTGGAACTCTTCTTCCTCCAAGGCTGGTTGGGGAGTGTGGATGCTGGATCTTGGCAAGGTTCTCCCAAAGACAAACTCACAGCCACTTCAAACTTAGAATGTTTTGCTGCTAATTACTCCTGGAAAAACCCAAAAAGTACACTTAATTTGTTTTTGTTTGTATGTTTTTGTAGAGTAGTGAAGTTACAGAAATTATAGGCATTCAACTGCTAACCAAAAGATTAGCAATTTGAATCTACCCAGTGGCTCTGTGGGGTGAAAGATAGGATAATCTGCTTTCATAAAGATAACAGCTTAGAAAACCCTATGAGGTAGTTCTGTCATTTCATATGGGTTCCTGTGAGTCAGAATCAACTCCTTGGCACTTTTCAATAACACATTTTTCTGGATTATTTTAAAAATGAATTTTAATTTTCATTAATATATGATTATTTGGTCTGAAAAATGTAAGCAACTATGAATGATATGAAATCAAATATTTCTCTGTGGACTGGAGAAGAATGTTATTCATTGATTCCTGATTATAGTGAGTTTAGTATCTGTTCATTTTGCATTCCTTGATTCCTTCCTGAGAGAGAAAGTCCCTTTATGCTTGGGAAAATGTACCTCACCTGACTTTAATGTCAGGCATATTTATACTTTACATCAGGATGAGTCCTCTGACTTTCACAAATCCTTGTTCATTTTGAAAAACCCTGGAACAGCAGGTCAAGATCCCCATGGCTCTGTGAGTTCGTTTGCATTATAGTTTAGAGTTCTGATATATTGTGAAATATGATTGAGTTTATTTCACCAAGAAAAGGAAACCTACACTGTCAAAGTCATCAATAAAACCACTTTAATTGCCTATAAACTACTCTACTGTGTATGCCTTACATTTTATTTGTCCAGAAAACACTTAAAATCAGTTATACGTTTAGGCATCTGTTGCTTATTTAATGAAAGTAAGAGATGCAATCTACACCCGAATAAGCAAAGCACTCCTTAAGAATAGAAGAACGGTAGGAGGTATCTCACTCCCTGATTTCAAATCCTACTACACTGCCTTAGTGGTAAAGACAGCATGGTACTGGTACAATGACAGACACATAGATCATTGGAATCGAATTGAGAATCCAGAGATCAACCCATCTATCTATGGTCAACTGATCTTTGACAAGGAGATGAAATCAGTGAAGTGGGGGAACGACAGCCTTTTTAACAAATGGTGTTGGCAAAATTGGAAAAATATCTGCAAAAGACTCAAGTAAGACTCACACCTCACTCCATACACAAAAACCAACTCAAGGTGGATCATGGACCTAGGACTAAAACCAAGGACTATAAAATTCATTACAGAAAAGCTAGGAACAACACTAGAAGTCCTAATCCACAGCATAAACAGTCTTCCCAGTATCCTGGAAAAGCTACAACCAGGAGAAGATAACATAGATGAATGGGACCTTCTAAGACTCAAATCCCTATGCACATCCAAAAACTTCTCCAGTAGGGTAAAAAGGGAAGCCACTGACTGGGAAAAAGTATTCGGTAATAACATATCAGATAAGGGACTTATATCCAGAATTTATGAAATACTTGAGCACCACAACAAGATAAAGGTAAATAATCCAATAGAAAAATGGGCACAGGATATGAACAGGCACTTCACCGAAGACGACATTCAGATGGCTAACAAACACATGAAGAAATGCTCAAAATCCCTAGCCCTAAGAGAGATGCAAATTAAAACAACTATGAGATATCATTTCACCCCAGTCAAAATAGCAAAATTTAACAGAACAGCCAGCAACAAATGCTGGCGAGGTTGTGGAGAAACTGGAACCCTGATTCACTGTTGGTGGGAGTGTAAAATGGTGCAACCCCTGTGGAAAGCAGTATGGCGCTTTCTCAAAAAGTTGCAAATAGAGATACCATTTGACCCAGCAATTCCACTGCTGGGAATATACCCTGAAGAGACCATAGCTGACATCCAAGCAGATATATGCACACCCATGTTTATTGCAGCTTTGTTCACAATAGCAAGGAGTTGGAAACAACCTAAGTGCCCATCAACAAACGAATGGCTAGAGAAGCTGTGGTATATTCGCACAATGGAATACTATGCTGCATTAAAAAACAAGGAACTCATGCAATATTATTCAAAATGGTTGACTCTGGAGAACATTATGCTGAGTGAAATATCCCAGTCACAAAAGGACAAATATTACATGATGCCACTGTTGTAGAATGGGACTGTCCTTGGGGTTGGGGAGAGACTGAGTAAGATGGGTTCAATAATGTATACTGCACTGAAACAGAGGAGGGAGAGAACCGTTTAAAAGAGAGATGTAACTGGGTATTTCTGTCATCACAGGAGACTAGAGCGAGGCTGCATGGTGGAGGGGACCTGGGGGAGGGTTTGTAAAACAATGAAAGAATCTTTTCTTTTACTTTTCCATAATTTTTGGACTCATGTACTTATAACTTGTTAGTCAAATTTGTATCTTCTAGGTTGCAACACCCCCATGATACATCTTCAAGGATATGAACATGTACGGCCAAGCACAATCAATAAGAGTGCATCTAAATTCCAAAATCAATCTCCATAATAGTCTATGTGTTTCCTACTGCCAAAGGGGCCCTTTAGAGTAGTGAGAGAAGATCTTCACCCTGAAACCCACAGCGTCCCTTTTCAGCAGGAAGTAGCTAAGAGAATACGCCATGCCCTTTTCCTTATGACTCAGGGTGAAGTCTCTCTCAGGGAGGAGTGATAGGGAATGGCAAAGGATACACTGACAAAGAAGATTAATCAGAACTGGCTTTGACAAGCACTGTGGCATTTGGACAAGAACAAACTGGGAGGAGGGTAGAGAGAATAGTGCAACAATGAATGAATGGAAACCCAAAATCTCTGTAAATGTTTATGAAAATTAATAAAATATAATAAAAAAAAGAGATGCAATCTACAATATTCAAGAAAGGACCAGCAACCGAGACGTTTAATTGCATTCCTCTAATTCCTGATTTGATTCCAAAGTGGTTGCTTGATATTTGACATCTGACATTTACTTGAGCCAGGCCTCTCTCTGATCCTCTTTCTCTTAGACCATAGATCTTAAGAAGACTTTTTCTTTTCCTCTTTTAAGTAACGCTAGTGGTGTGGTGTACTGCATCTTGGACTTCTGACTGAAAAGCTGGTGGTTAATGGGCAAACAGTCTCCTCTTATATAGATTTACGGTGTGGAAAACCCAATGGAGGGTCATCATGAATTCGAATCTCCTGGTGGGCAGTGGGGCTTAGCCTGCTCTTGCAAATTTATACACAATCCATGTGTCTATGCCAAGTCAAGACAAATAATTTAGGCAGCTGTTTTATCAAGCTGGCCAATAAAGAGCAGTATTAGCATCTGAGATGATTAGGATGGCACAGGATCGGGCAGAATTCAGATCCTAGGTCGCTATGAGTAGTAATGCACCTAATAACAACTTGTTATTTATTCTTTGCATGTTGCTCTTTGTATCCTATCTCATCAACCCCTAAACCCCCACCCCATTCCAGTGTGATTAACAACTTCAAGCTTACACCCTCCTGATCAATGTGAACAGAGATATAACTGTCAAAGCAATCTTGATGTTTTGCATCTATTTCACCCCTGTACACACCTAGTGACATACCTAGAACTTATCTCACGACTTTTTACTCTTGTATTTATATATCTGAGAGGACATTGTTCCTTTTAGGCAGCTGATGAAAAATTCTAACAATAACTTAATTATTACAATGTGAATTTGAAAAAGATCCGGCGTGGAAAACCAATATATACGAACTTTGTAAGTAAACTAGTGTAAAAATTTCCTTTAAAACGCTCCCCAAAAACCTAAAAAAAAAATAAAATTGTGTACAATCCTCCATGTACGTGAGCAGGCATGTTGGTTTCAATTTTTGAGTGAAAAGTTTCAGGAGCTTTGGTGCTACTAAATGTTTTAAACAATTTAAAAAGTGCTAAGCCGGCCCAGGGGCTCTTCGCTGCCACAATGGCTTTGTTACCCAGTGTCTCTCTAAATGTCCTTAGCCCTCACCTAAGCAATCTTTCTCTTCTCTTGCATTTTGTGGGTGTCAACTCGCATTTCCTCTATCCTGGACTGGGGTTGACGGGAGAGAGCACGGGGTCCCAAGTAATAGCTCCGCGGGCTCACGGCGGTGCGGGCGGCCCCGGGCACGCGCGTGCCCGCGCGTACCCGCGCGGCGCTGCGGCCACACTCGGGCGTCCCGGCCGCCACGTTGCCGTGGTAACAGGAAAGCCCGGAGCTGCTCCTCCCTCTCGACCCCTCCCGCCGTGCCGGCCGCTCTCCCGGAGCTAACATGGCTGAGCCCACCGGCCGGCGGCAGGGACAGCAACTAGCGCTCGGGGCAGTCGGAACTGCGTCGAGTGGTGGGGGCCCAGAGCAG